ATTCGCCCGCTGCTGGTCAGTTTCAACAGTGGCTGAATCTGGATGCCTGGAACAGAGCAGCTGAGGCGCTGCCAGGTTGGTCCCTGCAGCACCGCACCTCGGCGCTGCGGGGACCAACCTGGCAGCCCCCCAGCTGCTCTACCCCAGGTGTCCCCAAGTCAGCTGCTGCTGAAATTGATCAGAGTCTGATTCCAGGAAGCCCGGGGCCAAGCAGCTCTGCCTCAGGCTTCCTGTAGTCAGCCGCTGGTCAGTTTCAGTAGCGGCTGAATCAGGGACACTTGGGGTACAATATGTACTAGTTCCGACTTACGTACAAATTCAACTTAAGAACAAACCTACAGTCCCTATCTTGTACGTAACCCGGGGACTGCCTGTAGTTTTTTCCTTTTGTTTTAGCAAGATCAGGATAACATAGCTACCTCTCTATTACTATTCAATATGTACACTCACACTCACTATATTTGGTAAAATCCACAGGTTTTAAGTTGTACATTTTGTACTCACTGAAATAAATTGATATAGATTTCCACATCCCTCATGTCAGCTTGTCTCCAATCTTTCTTAAACCCAACAACAAGAGTGTTTGGTCTCATTCGACCCAGACCAGCAGCCTAAAAACAAAGCCAATTAAACATTTTTAAAAATAATAAAAGAGTATTACCTTAACTGAAGAAAAAACAAAGCCAATTAAACATTTTTAAAATAATAAGAGTATTACCTTAACTGAAGGCAAAGAAAAAAATGTTTAATTATTCCTATTTTAATAAAAACATTACAGTAGCAAAGTGGAAAAGATTACATAACTTCAATTGCATTTAAAATAAGCTTGCTTGAAAGTGTAAAATATAAAATGCAAAGATGTTTGTACTTTTCTGATGCCAATCATCCAGTACCTCAAACAAAATTGCAACAGAAATGTACCTGCATCAAGTACTGTCCCCCATCTCTCAAATCCTCTGCATGTACTGGTGCATAGAAAGCCTTCATTTTGTTTTTAATAAGCCACCGCTGATATTTGGCCAAATCAGTTGACAATTCTTTCATGGCTTGTCTGCGAGGGCCCTTTAAAAAAAAAAAAAAGTACTATTAATCAAAAATGCATTTTAGAATAATCACTAAAAGTTATTCTCTGAAAAATAGATTTCTGTTGTACTGATTGCATTGATAAATAACCCAAAATCTAATCTAATACACCTCGCTCAAAAGCTATATCTATGACTACAAAACAAGAGACCTATCAACATAAAGTAAAATAGGGTACGTCTACACAGCAGTATTATTTTGGAATAATGTCGTTTATTCTGAAATAATATAGTCGTGTTTACACTACAAACAGATATTTTGACAATGTCGAGCTGGAGGACTACTTACTCCAACTACTGTAACCTTCATTTTACATGGAATAAGGGAAGTCTGAGGAAAAGTGGTCTCTTCCTGCTGTGTAGATAGTGCCAAAAGCCAAAATAAGCTATTTTTACTTAAGCTATGCAATTGATGCAACTCAAGTTGCATATCTTATCTCAGCTTTAGCCCTGCTGTGTAGACTATCCCATAGACTCAGAAGGCAATAATAGGTCTTCCTTTCTTAAATATGTGCTTCCTGTGCTTTACTGGAACAAATATTCTCAAGCTTCAATTGTTTCACCAGCGGTATCCCCTGCTCATGTTGGGACAGGGGAGACAGTTTTTATGTCCACCATTTTGTTTTCTCTCTCTGAGGCATTGGTTAGCCTCCCTGTCACCATCCCCTTCCTAAAAAGGGTTGGATAAGGGACAAGGCAGGAAAAAAAGTAAAGTCAAGAAAAGTGGGGTCACCTGACCCTACTCGGCTCAGCGACAAGAGGGCTTATAAAGGGTGCTCACCCGCTCCTCGGAGCTCTCTGAGTGACTCTACGGTGCTGAAGTGACAGCTATCAGTAGGCCTCTTTAGGCAGCTGGGGCAGGCTGTTGGCTTGATAGGTCATCAGGGGCAGGAATGTGGTTGCTGCCACCACGGAGACTGGAAATCTGAGACCAGAGAGTGTCTGGGAGAGTCTGGGTGGGGCAACCCTGTGTTCCACATTTGTAGTGGTTGCTGGCACAGGGCTTAATTCGACTTGGGTTAATGTGACTGCAGTAATGCCAGGCAGCTGGCCGCCAGATCAACTCAACTCCCAGCCACTGAAGCTCTCTGGCCCAAGAGCTCTATAGTCCAGCAACGGCCATGGTACTTCCTGACCACAGATGTTGCTGGGCCAAAGAGGTTCAACCTGTAGTAGAGAAACTATTCAAGCTAATCATGGTTTTTAATCCATGGCTGAAAGTATTATGGCAAGGCACCTTCTGTGTCTTAGACTTTTCCCTCTGGCAGTGGCAGGCACAGAGTAAATCAGCCCTACTCTGGGCAGCATTTCTTTCCCCTTCCATGTTTCACTGGCAATCTTTTCTGAGTAGGGCTGACTAAGTAAGGGTTGATCTTTCATCAAACTGTCTCAAACCAAAAAACCAAGGGTGGAAACCTTTCCCTGCCTCCTGGCTGGGGCAGAGTGTTGTTCAGTTGTTTGCTCTGGGGCATCAAAACTTGCCTTCTCAGGCACTCAGGTGTGGACATTTCCCCTGTGAGATGGAGAAGAGTCTCTCACCCTGGAGAAGCTTATTTCCTTGCTATCACTAGCCTAGTGGCAGCTGCTTATTTGTTTCTGTTTCTTTCCCTCGGTCTCTGCCTCTCCCCCTTCTTTCCTCCCCAGAGAAGGTGTTTTTAAAGGCCTTGGCAGACCTTAATTGGATTCAGGTGTCTCTCTCTGATAGGAAAAAAAAGGCCTTTGCCCTTCTAGTGCTAACATACTCACCACCTTCAGGCCACTCTTGCATCTGACTAGCCTGCCTTTGTCACAATACCTTAAATCTGTTGCTCACTGGGACTTGTTTTGAAGCAGGCTGAAGAAGCCTTAGTTCTGACTCATACTAGAATGGATGAAGGAACACTCTGCACAAAAACGTATCCCCCTCAAAAACGTGACATGATACAGTCTGAGGTTACATTTCTTATTTAGTTCTACCTCTTATACTGCCCACTAGCCACACAAGAACATACATATGCAGTGGTTATTTTTAAAAAAGTGAAAACACATTTTACAGCATCTTGTGTCCAAGACAGTTCATTCATAAAGTTGAAAAGTTATTCCAAGGGAGAAGAAAAATTCAAGTGATATGTACTGCCATTTTGAAGTTATTTGCTATCCTAGTATTTCTAAGGCTTGCATGAAGTCACAACATACTACGTGCTATTACAAAACATAATCCACTGACAGGTTATCAATAAATATGAGCTTTCAGGGAAGTAGGAAATTTGATACATTTGATGAGAAAGCAATTATGGAAAGAAGGTTCGTTTATTTTTTCTGCATTGCAAAAAAGCTGAGAAAGCAATTATGGAAAGAAGGTTCGTTAGCTTTTTTGCAATGCAGAAAAAATACTTACCATGCGTATATGACCACAGACCATCAAACCCACATTCTTTGTGAAAGCATGGACAAGATGAACCAATGCAGGACGTGAGTTAGGAGCACCTGTCATAACAAGGCACTGAGGCCTAGAGTTTTAAATTTAAGAGAAGAATAATTAGAATTCACTTATTTACTTTGTACTGATAAAAACAACTTTTAAGTCATTTGCAACCAACTTTAGAATTGAGAAAATAAACATCTTCACAGATCTCAGGACTGCAAACACATATTTGGAGTGAGAAATGGGGGACATTAAATTAATTTATATTGTATTGGCAACTACAAATCTTTCCCTTCCTGCTTATTTTACCAGAAACCAATTAATGGCAATATCTATTGAAATCCACTAGTCAACTGAAATTATAATCACTAAAGTCTGGTGACAAGTTTCTACCTTTCCTAAATATGACTGACTGCCTCAGATGTGCTATGAAATAAAGAGCCCAAGACCTGAAAAAAAACCCAAAAAACTCCAACTATAGACCCAATTTTGATAGTTTAAATTACTTCAAGTAGAAAAACCCAACAAGGACAAATGCCAAGTCCTCTGATTAGAAACAGTTAGTTGCATACGTACAGACAGCTCTGATTAGAAACAGTTAGTTGCATACATACAGACAGAGAAACAACTGCCTAGGAGGGAGTACTAAGAAAGAGTTCTGGGGCTCATAGTGAATCATAAGCCAAATATGAGTCAACTGTATAAAACTGTTGGGAGAAAAAATTCACTCTTGCAAATACATCCCAGAATTATGTTGTAATAGATAGGAGTGCTGACCAGCACCTGATGACTAAGGGGTTAAGCTCAGGTAACTAGTAGAGGTTTTGGCCAGGGGGCCGGGACAATTAATTGAGATAGAGGGCTGAAATTTGCATTGGATATAAGTTCCCTGCCTGCTTTCTTTGTGTGGGACAGATAAACCAGGAATTGAGACACACAGAATGATTTAAACCCAGGCAGCACTACTACATCTCCAAGGAATTCAGGTCATGGGAGTGGACTGGACAAAGAGAAAATTGGAAGTAAGGAAAAGTGAATCCAGTCATGTTCAGAGTAATTTTTCTTTATTTTGTGGTTTGGTTTGAACTGCTCTGTGTGATTCTATGCCTTCCTTCCTCCTTTACCTACCACTTAAACAATGTGCTGAGACTTTTCTCCATGTTTTGTTTTCCTAAATTGCTCTGTAACATCTAGCAACCCAGTATCAAGTTTGTGATAAAAATCACTTTTTTTAAGGTGATGATTTGATTGTGTGTCCTAGGAGGTCGGTCTGTCTGTGTATATCTGCATGCCTCTGACTGAGGGATCAGCTACCAAAGACTGCAGCTTATTTTTCTCTTGTATTTTTAAGCTCTTTTGGGTCAAAAGAGCTTGGGGTACCCTGGGGGTGATTTCAAGTGTTCAACCCTGGTTTTTAGGGATCAAAAAGCACTTGATGGTGGCAGTGATTCCCCAAAATCTGTATATTATGATTCTGGGGTAGAAGTCTGTTGTAACCTCTGCCAGTAGAGGAAAGGATTTGAACCTCTCTTGCGGGTCCTCACCTTCTGCACTCGGAGTGCTGGAGTGGAGAACAGCCCTGGCAGATGTTTACAAGTAAGACGCCAGGGAAGGAATTCTTTTGCTCTACTCCAGGCTGATTAGGCCTCAATGGGAGTAGCGTGTCCAGCTGAAAAAATAAAAAAAAAAAAAAAAAAAAAAAAAAAAGACTGAATGTCTAGAAAACTTGATCTGTGACGGAATAGTTAAAAAACTGAAAAGAATTGTTTAGTCTGGAAAAGAAAAGACGGCAGGAAGACACAATAACAGTTTTCAAGTACATAAATGTTTGTTACAAGGAGGAGGGAGGTAAATTATTCTCCATAATGAAGACACAATAACAGTTTTCAAGTACATAAATGTTTGTTACAAGGAGGAGGGAGGTAAATTATTCTCCAAAATCTTTGACAGTTTAGGTTGGACATTAGAAAGAAAAAAAAATTCCTAACCATCAAAGTAGTTAAGCACTGGAATAAACTGCCTAGGGAAGTTGTGAAATCTCCAACATTGGAGATTTTTAAGAGCAGGTTAAACAAACACCTGTCAGGGATGGGGATAATATTTAGCTCCGTCATAAAGGCAGGAGACTCAACTAGAAGATCTCTTCAGATGTCATGTCCTAGGATTCTAGAAGATTAAGTAAAGATACAAATATTCTTCAAAGTAATAGTTGATATGTGACTTTCAGATTCCTCTTTATATCAACAGTTAAGATGTTTAATACAAAAATTAAAACAAGTAAGTTCAGATGTTGAAGCCATACATTCTAGGTCAGGTTACAGACACATCTGGCATGAGTGTTCTGATCTGGCCTGTACTAAATTTACTGAAATAATGAAGAGCAGACCATAACTGAACAAGACAATGAAAATATGAATACTTATAGTCACAGAGGTCATAACATCACTTGTCCTCACCTTTCATTTTCCCTTTTTTGGGAAGAGGAGAAAGAGCACAGAAAAAAGTAGTAACATTCTCCATTCCGATTTATTGTAAAAGTAAGTACTCTCTCACCTGCCATATTTCAATTTCCTCAGAAAAACTGCTATTAATTTAACATTGACCTCCATATTTATTCTAACTTACATAACCAGAAACTCTGATCTAAGGATTTAGCTAGCTTTCATTTCATAGCTTTATTTGTATGATTATTATATCCGCATCAACAAACCAACAAGCTTCCCTAATCAAAATAAGTGGGAAAGTCTCAGCCTTGCTATGACAAAACATTTTCTGTTTTCTAATTTTTTTTTTTTTTTTTTTAAAAGAACAAGAGTTGCCAGTGAAGTCATTTTAATATCCACACAGGCAAGTCAGCCGTGTACCTTATGGGTCTAAAAACCAAAACATTCTTCACCATCAACTAATTATATTTTGAAACAAGAAAAAAATACTTCATAAAAAAATCATAAAAGAATTTCCAATCTGGTCCTAAAGGCCTGCTCATAAGCAGAAGTATGTTCATTCTCCACATCATGTCTTAAAGCATAACAATCAAAATTCAGCTGCCATTTTTGTTGTTTATGTGGAAGGCAAGTAGCCAACTTACTTTTTTAAAGTTATATTTGCTAAGTAGTGATGACAGAGTTTTAGTAAAGTAATGTGAACACACAAAGTACATCAACAGTGTCATTTTAATATTTTATTGAAATTCATTCATAAGACTAGCAAGACTGCCTATTAGAATGGTTGCCTGACACTTCTCATTAGAGGACACCTTTTTCAGGTGATTATATCTTTGCAAAACTAACTGTTAGGGCTGAAATTTTCCTTGTCAGGTTGATTTTCATCCCCATGACCAGGGAAAATCCTCCATATAAGGCTGATTTATTCTGGGGGAAAAAAAAAATAATTCAGCCATAGCACTAGAGTCCATTTTGGAGGGGGGGGGGGAAGGGTAGAGAAATATCTACTGTTTTATAAATTTCATTTCATAATAGTTACTCCACTATGGAAATATACTAATTATTCCGGAATAGTGTAATAACGTACTTTTATCCAACACAGTGCCTACACAAGAAGCTATTTTAAAATAGCTAATTGCAGAATAGCTTGTTCCTCAACAGTTATTCTGGTCAGCTTTCCCAGGTCCTGAAGGAATCTGCTAATCTAACCACTCTGAAGTCACAGAAGCCCCCCCCGCCCCAAGGTTGAGAGAGCAGGTATTTTCTCATTACATGCTTCTTTCAGATATGGGCAGATTTCCAAGGAATCAGCAAGAATTCTGTACTCTGTGGCTGCAAACACGCCAAGGCTGTGGTGCTGTTGCAATCTCTGGCAAGAATAGATATGCTGCCAAAGTTCACAGACCAATTTATGCCAGTTTCATACAAGGAGTGGTGGATACTGAAAGCATCAAAACCCTACTTTGCTAAATGTACCATTCAGTGGAAAGATTTTTCTAATCTCTACAGATGTGCACCATGCCTCAAGCATGAGCATGTTTGTTACCTGAAGTTTTTTACATGATCTTCCACGCCTGAGAGACGAACAGAATGCTGCAATGCATTCAGGTAAGTCAATGCTTGTGTAGAGGATCCCCAGTTCACATCTGTGGGAAGATTTGTTTCAAATAATTTAATATTATGGCATATGGTATTTTGACTAACCATTTTCTCAGACTAAAAAATTCAGTGTCTGATTGTGTAATGCCATCATCAACTAAAAATTAGGTAAGATCAAATTAAAAACAAAGTACTTTCCAACTGAAAGTAGGCTAAATCAACTTTGGGTTTAAATTAGGAAGAAAAACAGTTGAACTTTTCTGTAAAGAGGATAATGGTTATGTAGTCAAATCAAGTTTTCTAGGTAATTAGCTGTTCGATATTACACAGTCAAATTTTGAAATTACTTAACCAGCTTTATTTTAAGTAATAAGGCAGCTTTGTAAGCAAATAGTTGACGACTACTCACATTTCCCCCCTGCTTGCTGTCTCTGTATCAGAGGCAGCAACAGGGGTGGGAGAGCAGGAGCCAGCCTAAAAAAGCTGATTCCCCCCAGCACCATCTCCATGGTGCTGCCTGTCCTCCCCCATGCTTACTGCCTCTATCAGACGTAGCAGCATGGGGAAGGGGATGGAAGAGGCAAGGAGGCTACTGCAAAGCTGCCTCTGCCCATGGCGGGCCCAGGCTCACTGCAAGCAAAGATGTGGAGCATCACAAGATGTGGAGCAGCCCCTGTCCATAGGCTTCCTGCGCATCCAGCTCCTACTACATTTAACCTGTAGAGCAGCAGTGGGGGTAGCTCCTGGACTCAGCGCAATTTGGGACCAAGCGCCTTCCTTTATCAACTAATCATGTAGTCGATACAAATTGTACCGACTACACCGGGGTTAGGAACCTTTTTTTGGGGTGGGTGCCACTCATCCACAGAAATGTCAGTCGGGGACCACACAAGTCAGGAGTGCAAAAAAAAAAAAAAATCCTCACAGATGTGGCTCTCGACTGAGAAGGAGAAACACTCCCTACATTTCCCTCACACCCCAGACCTTAGATGGGCCCAGGCTAGTAGATTTGGTGTGCTCCATCCCCATGAGCTCCCTAATGCTGTGGGGCAGGGCCTGAGCCTCAGGGACTGAACCCAAGCAAGACAGGGGCCGCACCTGGCCCATAAGTTCCCCGCCCTTGGACTACACGATTAGCCAATTAGCCACTTGTTAATATCCTTAATAGAAATCTGGTCTCATGCTCTCATGCACAGTGTAAATTTTGTAACTGAAATAACAAAACAATTTTAATTCGTTAAGCGGGGTAATGGATGAGTTGGATTTTAAGAGCTACTACGTTCAGAGAATTTTAATTTCAAGGAACTCTCTCATTGAATTATAGGCAGAGCAAGTCATTTGACATCTTAAAGTTTCCTGATACTCCTCATAATAAGCAGGGCCATACCAAATTCCTGAAAAAAAAAAAACACACACACACACACACACACCACGGACTGAAATCTGGTCTCCTCCATGAAATCTGGTCTTGTGTGTTCTTTTTACCCTATACTCTAGGGTTTTCATGGGGGAGACCAGCATTTTTCAAACTGGAAGTCATGACTCAAACAAGGGTTTCGGGTGGATCATAAGGTTATTGTAAAGGGGTTGCAATATTGCCAGCAAAATTTCTGCACTACCTTCAGGGTTGAATGGCCAGAGAACAGCAGCTGCTAGCCAGGTGCCATACTCTGAAGGCAATGCCCTGCCAGAAGCAATGCTGAAGGGTGGCAATGCCATACCGTGTCACTCCTACTTCTTCGCTGCATTTGGCGGCATTGCATTCAGAGCTGGGCACCTGGCCAGCAGCCATCATTTTCTGGCTGCCCAACTCTTAATACAGCTCTGCAGCAAGTAGTGGCACAAAAGTAAGCATAGCAGTACTGCACCCCCTCTGTAATAGCCTTACTACTCCCACAATTCTTTGAGTCAAGGCCCCCACAATTACAACACCGTGAGAGTTCAGGTTTAAATATATGAAATTACATTTACAATTTTTAATATCGGATGACCATGAAATGGACCATGAATTTGATAGGGCCATAATTATGAAACCCTCTTTTAAGTGAAATTTTAGGAAGGAGAATGTCTTAAGTATGTCATAAGTGAATTTTTTTGGGAAAAAAAATCAGTCAAAATGCTTTAGCTTCAGAGAATGAGACTAGGGAAAAACAGGTTTTCCTCAAGTTAAAAAATTCTGCCTCTAGCTTCCATGTGCTTTGGATCAGTGGCTCAGATTTTGGCATGAGGTGGCTTTTATATGCCAGGAATATGCCTTTTGCTGTCCTCATGGAAATCTGCTCAAATTTGGCTATGTTATAAGCCTTTGGTGGGAAAAAAAATTAGTCTGCACACGCTCAATGACTTTTTAAAAAAATTAGCAACTGAAATCTCCAAGATCACATTCTAACTGAGGATACACAAGTCTCTAAACTAGATGTATAAAGTATTCAGATACTCTAGCAATGAACACAACAGCAAAGTCTATAAGGAAATAATTCTGTTTCCAGAATAGGGTTTGAATAATGTGTATTTCAGCTTCCATACCTACTTGTTTTACATTTAGCATTACAGCATATATTCTCTCTCTTCAGATGATATCAGATCAGCCATCTACTTTAAGCCAGGTTTCTGGCTTTGACCAGAAGAGCCAAGCCAAAAAATTTTTTAAAAATTATGCAAGCAGGTTTCCACCACTATCCATGTTTCACAAACAAGATAGATATAAAAATACAATGTCACGTCTATATCAGATGCATATGCCTTTACTGCATATGCTTTTACTGTTTAGACTTGCAACTTAAAACAATATTTTATACTTGTTGGCATTATCATCCATAAGTTATATTTCTTCTGTGAGATCCTTTTAAGAGGTAACAGGATAGCTCAGTTTGGAGCCTGGTTCTGCCAAATCAAGTAAATGCTCTTTACTTATGTGCTAATCAGTTGTGTAGATCCATGTTAACTTCCAGATTTTTCTTTTAAGTGTTCATTAAATTCTTTGTACTTTCTGTATTTTATTTTGAACTCTTCATTTTACATGAACCTTTTTGATTTTCCAAAATAAATATGGGAACAAATATGAGAAATAATGTCTACCTTTCATAAAAGCTGTAATGTATGGGGAAACTTAACTTCTGTTATTCAAGAACTTGATACAATTTCAAGCCCAACACTTGTTGATTTTCTTATTTCTAATTTTAGCAAAATTCTTTGCCCAGCTAACTCTGTTCCATCTCATTCTAATTTTGTAAACATCTTCAACCCTACTATTTTTACAATGTTTTTGCTATTTCAATATGACATGTCTGGTCAAACATAGTTCCTAGATATGGCTTATCAAGACACCATCCCTAATCCAATGCCATTCCATTCTGGAATAACAGTGGAGGATCCTCTTTCAACAAGGCACATTGCACTTCCATGATCTCTCTGCAGAAACAAAGTTATAGTCCCTAGTGTCAAATATCACTCAGAACTCCTCCCAAGTGCACCAGCAATGCACATTACTTCCTCTCAATTTCTCTTACACGGATCCTTTGGATCACATTCAGTACATTAACTTGTGAATGTATACAGTTAATGCATCAGAGTCCCCTTTCTCTTCATGAAAAAAATTGAAAACAGTTTCTTCTGTAACCAATCGTGCAAATAAAATAGTAATTTTAAATACAAAAATACAGCATTTAACAAAATTAGATGATCAGAATGTCTCAAGTCTGCTTAGTTAAAAAAAAATACCCACCTGGTTTCTTGTAAGTGACATAAATATAGAGTCCAAGGACTATGACATACGTTAGCAATGCTGCCCACCAATTAATGACGAACATCACTATGCAACAAAGAATTGCTCCAACAAGGGAAACCCACATATTGTAGTACTTAAAAGCAGGACGCCAACCTAATCAAAGCAATGAAAAGTTAAAGTTAATGGTTTAGTATTAAGAGAGGATATGTCTACACAGCAAAGTTATTTCGAAATAACAGCCATTATTTCAAAATAACTTTCCTAGCATCTACACAAGCCAACCGCTATTTTAAAATTAATTCAAAATAGCGGAAGGCTTATTTTGAAACTGGTAAACCTCATTTCATGAAGAATAGTGCCAATTTTGAAATTGCTATTTCTAAGTAAGCGCTGTATAGATGCTTATTTTGAAATAGGGAGCCTCCAGGCCTTCCCTGGGTGCCCTTGTGGCCACAAGGTAACTTCTGACCTGATGCCCTGCCAGAACCAGTTCCAGTTGGCCATAAATGCGATTCAGAGTCAAATCAGTGTGGACACACTATTTTGAAATAGCAAAAAGCTATTTTGAAATACATTTTGTGTGTAGACGCATTATTTCGAAATAAGATATTTTGAAATAACGCTGTAGTGTAGACACCCAGAGAGAGACAGAGTAAAATATATTAAAAACCTCTGGCACATATTTATCCTTAAAGCTCATTCAATTTCTTGCAATATTTCAAAAGAAAGCTGCAGCTATGGTTCAAGGCTAAGAGTAGAAATGTTTACATGGCCACAAGGATAGGTCTCTTTTTAAAGTGGAGTTTGATGTTATTTCTGTACTAGATGCTCCCAACGGCCTAGTGAGTAGAAATATTTGACAAAGAGGTCCATTCATATTTGCTTTTTGCTTTGCAGTATACCTTTAGAAGATGATACAGCATGAATCACAATGCTAGTGACTGCAGGTGGATGTTATCTTTTTAGTTCCACATCATCACTCCAATTATGCTAACTAGTATTAGTGGTTAACTACTTTTAATGTTTTCATTTATTTGAATAAGAGCAACGCCTGAGCATTTAAATAAAAAGGACAAGTATCACGTTAAAGTATGCCAGACAAGTTCAGGAAAAAATGTAACTGTGAAAGAGAAGTGCTGCACTTGCCAATGTCTGACACCATGAGTTGCTGAAGGACTGTTCAGGAGTAAAGATAAGGATAATCTGCTCTGATGCTAATGGATTCAGTCGTGATATGGGCTGGTGGGGACTTTACATATTTAATAACCACTGAAGGTGCTAACTGCTCCCTGAGTGGTATCCTTCCTGTTTTAGGTATCTATCTATTGACTTTGATTTTTATCTGCTTAGGTTTAGGTATCCATTCACCAGATACATAATGATGCTCCATCTTCCACACGCCTCCCTTTTTCTTTCTCTCCCCTCTCCTATTTATTTTAAGTTTTCATATCCCCAACTCATAACTCCGGTCATCTGAAGAAGTGGTCTGTGCCCACGAAAGCTCATGATACCATCTACGTGTTTCGTTACTCTATAAAGTGCTACCAGACCATTTGTTGTTTTTTCTGTAAGGGTATGTCTACACTACAGCGCTAATTCGAACTAAGCTAATTCGAACTAACGCGTCTAGAACTAAAAACTAGTTCGAATTAGCGTTTTGCTAATTTGAACTAGCATGTCCACATTAATTGGATGCAGGAGCGCATTTAAGGGCAGCTGAAACCGGTTCTGGCAGGGCATCAGGTCAGTAGTTGCGTTGTGTGGCTGCTGTCTGAGGCTATCTGAGGCTTGTGCTTAAAGGGACCCCCCCCGGACAGCCGGTTCTCAGCTTTTCCTGCTTGCTTGCCAACCTTGCCGAGGGACAGCCAAGCGTTGGTCCC